GCTGCCCGCTCCAGCCCCACCCGGCACGGCCCCCATCACCTTCAGCAGCAGCCTGACTTCTGTGCTGTTCCCACTGTTGGAACACGGGCCCGTACTGGAGCACTGCCAGGGCTTCTTGTTTCTCACAGGAAAACATTCCCTGATGCCCTCGACTCGTTCCTGTGACCTTCCCACCAACTTGGCAGCACCCCGGTGCTTCACGTCAGGGATCTGCCCAAGATGCCAGCCCAGGGTCTGTGTGTGCTCCAGTGGGGCCCAGAGCAGCGCAGGCCAGCATCTCCCTCAGGAGCACTGGGATGATACGGCTGACAAACCCAAGTGTTTGCTCAATGCCCCAAGCCCAGGGAGCTCCCCAGGGCACAGCAGCCACATCCCGGTGGAGCACTGCTGCTTGTTTCCTTCAAGCCTTCAGCTGCAATCCCAGCTCAGCCTCACACGCTGTGCTGCTCCCCGCAGCACCCGGCTTCCCTGAGCCCCTGAAGGATTTGCTCTCCAGACACAAGAGCGTGGCTCCTTCTGCAGCAGCCACACAAGGGTTAACCCCAAAGCACGACTTTTCAACTGGGAGTGGATGAAGTGGCTTTCCCAGCTCTGCTGGGGGACACTCGGTGACAAATACCCTCCCTGAGCCGCGCTGACACCTCTTCCCCAAGAGCTGCAGCCATGCAGAAAGCAGCTGAAGGTCACGTAGCCATCCCTTCTCCCAGCCCTGGGCTGTGGGAAAGCCCCCACCAACCTCTGGCAGCTCCACCCCTCATTCCACGGACATCCCAGCCTCCCGCTCCTCCTCTCCGCCCTTATCCACCACCAACGGATTGTGACTGTTTCCCTTATGGACCTGTCCTCCCTGAATTTACCTTTTAAAAAACCCTAAGCCAAGCCCAAAACCTTCTGCTGCCACCGTCCACCTCAACAACCTGGGGCAACAAACGCCGGGAAGTCAGTACCTGCTCTGTAAGAAAGCTACTCCATGTCTCCAGCCCATTTCCTTCCAGCTAAGTGCCCACTGGATTAATTGGAGGATTAATGCCCGGCATTCGGCACTCACTGCCATCGAGCTTTCCCAAGAGCCACAAATAAAGCTGGGCTGCAGGGGACCTCTAGAGGTCGTGTGCTGCCACCTCCTGCTCGCAGCAGGGCTGGATCCTCGCTCGCCTCTGCCTTTCCCTCTCCAAACGGAGCCCCCTCACCTGGCACGCTGCTGCTCCAGCCCACTGACCATTTAGTGCCCTTCTCTAACTCCGCTGTGTCCTTCTGCAGACACGAGGTCCAGAGCTGCGAGCAGGACTCAAGGCACCAGCACAGCAGAACTCTACAGAGCTGCAAAATAAAGGCAGTCCGCGTGAGTATCGGTGTTTGGGTTGTGCCCGTCTGCTTCTCTGTATCGAGCTTGGAAAATAATTCTGTTTGGAGGTCAGAAGTAACAACACCAACACGGTGTGAGGGCTGAGTGGAACATAAAGAGAGGATTCCCTGCCTGGAACAGGGTCTCACAGGAGCCTGCAGGATCCATCCAGCGGCTGGGGTGGCTGACCTGGGCAAGCTGCACAGCCCACAGCCAAGGCCCCTGGGCCCCCAGCAGCGGTCACTGACACTGGAAACCGGCACTGGAAGGAAAGACACACTAAGCTGGGCATTTAATGGGCAAGGCACGTTGTCAGTCAGCAGCGACCACCTTTGTGTGCAGCCAGCCCTGGGCCAGGCTGGCAATCCCACTGGCCTGCATGAGGCACAGGAGAGGCTCGAGCACCAGCACAGCCTGAGCCCCAGCAGCCCTTGGCTGCATGGCTAATCCCTGTTTTCAGGCTGCATGGTTACGATTTTTTTTCTGAAAAATATCCACAGCCCTTCAGGCTGGGCAGCAGCCAGCAAGTCCAGCTACATCCCAGGAAAAAGGGTACAGCCCAAGCTCAGTAACTTTTCTGAGTGTACCTATAAAGTCACCTCTTTGGTTGCAAAGGTTTCCAGGAAAAGCAGTTTTCCTTCTGTCTCCCACTGAAAAGTGCTGCAAGATATTGTGCTTCTGGAAAAAAAAACCCAGCAGATTTCAGCAGAGCCCCTCAGCAGCTGGCACGTCACACACCGATTGCCAGAGGCCAAACCCAGACCAGCTCAGGGTAGCTTTACCTCGGCAGGTTAAAGGAAGGGGATTCCTTGATTAAGGTTCACAGATGCAAAGAATAAATCACTAGTATTCGGTTAAAAAATAAAAGTGCATCACTCTACACAAAACAACATCCCAAGAGGCTCAGGCTGCCTCCTTCCATCCATCCCAAACCAGCTGGAGGGCACTACACCCATTTACAGGTTTTGTTTTTACCTTCAAGCCATCCTTTGGCGCTTCTCAAACTTTTGGATTGAGTTCACTTCCAAAGTAAACAAGGTAGAAATTTGAACAACTTGCCCACATTCAGGACTGTTACAAAAATAATCACTAGTTAGGCTTCACGAAAACAAAATGAAGCCCTCGATCTAAGTACGAGCCGGTGCAGCTCAGCTGTACAAAACCAGAATCCTGCTCTGCCCGTAGCGAGGCACAGCCAGAAAATAAGGCCTTGACTGGATGTGTCATCCACCTTCGCACAGAGACACACTGACAACATCACCAGGTGTACGGAGACATTTCCAGCCGTGCCAGAGGAGCACAGGACGCCCTTGAGGTGAAGCTGTGGTGTCCAAAGGAGGCAGGCTTGAGGCAGAAATGAAATCCTCACCCCCAGTCTGTCGCTCAGTGTGTGCGTGTTATGGCAAAAGAAAAGGGGGAGGGAGGCAGAGAAGTCCAACTAACCCAGAGCAATGAGTCACAGTGAGGCCGCCGTTCCCTCTGGCAGTGCTGGAAGCCTGGACGCTGTCGGAGGCGCGCCGGGAGCGGGCAGATCCCGCACAGACACACAGCACAGCACACCCTCAGACGCACGGGTGGGAACAAAGGGGGAAGGAGAGGAGGGCACACGTGATGGAGGAATGAGATGGCTCTTCTGCTGGCAGGGATGCCCGGATCCGCGGCTCTTCCAGTGCCCTACGGTCCACTGGGAGAGGGGGTGTGGGGGCTTTGGCAAGTGACGCTTACATAAAGAAGAAGCTACGGAAAAGAGAGAAAAACAGAAGAAAAAAGAAACAGAGGTTCAGAATTGAAATGAAAAAGTGAGGGTGGGGGGGGGAAACAAAGGAAGAACAACATTTTAATATAAGTCACGGGGGAAGGAATGTACCGGGCAGGTGTCACACGCACCAATTCCGGCCTGAGCTCCCCGGGATAGCGGCTGAGGTGGGGAACAAGCTCGTGACCACCACAAGAAGCGACTGACAAACACCAGCACGAACCTCTACAGAGGCACCTCAAAGGCACAGAACCACCTGCTGGCAAGGCAGAGGCTGACAGGTGACCCTCCTGTCACAGAACGGCAACAGCAAACGTCACAAAGGCCACGCAAAGACCAAAGCTTTGGGTAAAAATATATTTCCTCTCCCCACTTCAAGTGTTGGCACTATTTGGATCTGTAACCTGAAGCATATACAAGAAATAACTGAGCTTATGCTATAAGGTTATTATTCCATCTGTAATTCAAAAACTGAAATATTTTAACATCAAATAAAGTGACAATATCTAACAGATGCATACATATCATTTGCATTAACACTGTATGTAGGTTACACAATTGTTCAGTTACAAACATGGGTTACTTTCCAATAGCAAGGTAATAAAGTCCTACATCTATGGTTTAAGGCAATCAGGATATTAAAAATACAAGATTTCTACCGCTGTTCACAGCTTTGTTTCCCGTTAATTAAAAAAACCCTTCATATGTGAAGAGCTCCGAGCTGGCACGCGCCGGCGAGAGCACCGCAGATATCACACCCTGCACGTGCAGCCCGGGCCCTCGGAGAAGGGACACGAAGGGGGACCGGGGTCAAGTGGACAGATCTGATGTGGTCACACACAAAAAGACATTTCCATCTGCACTTGGACGGGTTGGGAGAAGCAGAAGGAGAGCTGCCTGCAGAAACATCGGTCCTGTTTAACATGGATGTACTCCCAGGGAGACACCATCTCCCTGCTGGGATTTCAAGCTGTCAGAAGCACACGGAGGGGGTGACGGGAGTGGCAGCTCTCCAGCTGGAGAGGAGCCCGGGGTGGGCGCCAGTGCCTGCTTTCCCCGCTCCTGGAGCACCACAGGAGATGCATTTCAAGATGATGCATTTCACAACCACGAGCTCCAGGGGCACCTTCCTACCCACTGCCCTGCCTGAAAGGGACTGTGTGACCCCCAGAGGGTTCTGGGGTAGCGAACCCTTACCCATCTCCTGCTTTCCCACTGCCTGCCAGACCCACGTGTGCCTCCTCTCTACAGGGCAGCCACAGCCCCTCACAAGGACCTGGCTTGTCTTTGCTCTTCCATTCTGAGGGTTTGCTTCATGCCCTGGGAACATGAGCATCCCAGAAAAAGCATCTTCCAGCGTGATTTCCTGCTCCTTTGTATTAGCCTGAGGACTGAAATCCACCTTGTCAGGAACATGCAGTTTTAGAGGAGTTTGTACCAGCCCACTTGCAAGTAAGTGGACTTGGAGAATCTCCCAGCAAAGCACAGCTGGTCTCCTGTCAGGAGCGAGGCAGGAAGGGGCAGTCTCCTCCTGCTGTACTTACATGCAAAGGTGAAAGCACATCCAGCCAGACCTGAGTGTGTCACTCGCTCCATGCACATCAGGGGCTACTGTGAAAAAAGGCACGGGCAAAGAAGAGCAACAAGAGAAGCAGAAACAAGCTAAACATGGCCCAGGGGTTCGAGATGGGAAAAAAAAAAGTTATTACCATGTCCTTTGGCAAAAAAACCAAACAGTACCTTTGACATCTTCAAGTTTGTGGTTTATTCCCAGTTCCTCCAACATGGCTTGTTTTCTGCTGGAGAAAAGCTCAACCAAAAAGACACTAATGCACTTGGTCACAGCTTTCTGTCAAAAAGGAAAAGCTCAACTCAGCTGATTTCCCCTGCTAAACATCCCCTGAAGGGCTGTTAAATGAAGCAGGAGAAATAAATGTTAAAATTAAGTTTTCTACTTGGCACAAAACACTGGTAATTAAAAAGAGGACGCGCACAGAGGCAGCTGAAGCAAAGCATATTGCCACGAGCGCTCGGTGATGGGCATGTGATGTGACTGTAAAAAACTCATGCAAACAACTCAAACTTCTTCCTTCATAACTCAAGATTTTAAAGCTGGGTTTGCCAGAAGCCACAAGAACCAGAATTTCATTTTTCCAAACAACCCTGCAGCAAACCTATTTAACCTGATGGAAAGTGCATAGCTGGCAAGTCCAGAAGGGGAAAAAAAACCAACCCAAACAACAAAAACCAAAATAATAATAATAGTAACAATTTTTTTAAAAAAAATTTAAAAAGGATAAAAAGGTCAACTGTTTAATTTCCAGCTTATTTATCCATTTTTGCTGTCCATTGCCAAGACATGGTACGTAGATATCCTCTTCCTAAAGCCATGTTTAAGCAGTGAGGGTTAAAAAGCAAGACAACCCATAAGCTCACCTCCAAGCACTTCTCAATCCAACACTTGAGGAAAAAGTGATTAAAAAACATGAGAATTCTGCCTTCTCTTTTTCCTCCAAAGAAATTCCATCTGGAAGCAGGCAAACAGCTGTAGTGGGAGACTCAGGAAGGAAGAGTTTTGTCTAAGAGGGCTTTAAAGAAGGCAACAGAAGACTGCCTAGCTAGGAGCAGAGGAAGAAATCCAGGAGTCACAGGGTAAGCATGGCTCGCCGCTCCTTGGGAAGGAAGGGAAAGACTCTGTCTGCAAGCAGTGGTGTGGAAAAAACACTTTGAACAGAGCCACTTGCACCGTCTGCTGGCCAGAGAGCGGGGCCTGGCTTATCCTGCATCTCCTTGGTGTGTTCTAGGGACACCTAATGGGACACTATTCCTGCTGCAGGGGGGCTTGGGGGGCAGCACAGCCACTGTGTCCAGGCACCTTCTCTCCTGGAATTCTGGATGCCACAGCCTTGCAAGAAGTCTGTATAGAAGTTTGTGCAGGAACGCCCCTGGAAGCTCCAAGAGGATGCTGAAGGCTCTATCTTCCCCCTGCCCAGGTATCTAATTCCATAAGGGCTGCTAAGCCTTGCTAAGACCCTGCCTGTTGGAGACCAGGTAGGATTTTAGGGGAGGTCCCAAAGGTTTGAGGCAAGTGGTGCAGGGAGAGCGGTGCTGGGAATGGTCCCTCCCCGAGGCAGCCGCAGAGCTCCGCTGAGCTGGAAGGGAGGCTGGAGAACCAGGCCAGCAAACCCAGCCCTGGCCAGGGCACACAGCAGGAAGGAGAGAATATTCCATACACAACAGGAACTAATACAAATTATCATGCAAATGTCATGGCATGCAAGGTCAGTTACACTTGGTTATCTACACACACCCCCCTCCCTCTCCCCGGCAGGGACTGGGGCTGCTGTAACTCATCAGCTCCTGAAGAAATGCGGAGCAGGCTCAACTCCAGCTTGAGCCGTGCCATGGGCTGGGCTCACTCCTACACAACTCATTCCCTGGGGCTGGTGAATCCAGGGGCTCCTGCAGCCAGCAGCACTGAGGACACCTGAGCCAGTCAATACCTGGAGCTGCTGATACCCAACTCTGACTCTTGGTTCGGACTGGGGGCCAAAAATAATTTACTGCTGATGGTTTTGGTGAAAGAATACATGGTATCATCATTATCTCGGTCCCTCCACCCACCCCTGAACTTCCACTCATACAGTTCTGCACCCAATCCCTCTTCCTTCTTGTTCCCACTATGTTATTAGGTGAGTTAATAGTTATTCGTGTTAAAAAAATGGAAAAAAAAATATAAAAAGAAAACAGATGGCAGAGACACATTACTGCAAAAGCAGGTGAATGCAGGAACATCCTTGGCTCGACAGGCTTTATGTGAAGCTTGCACTGCAAGTTAAAAAAACAGAACAAAAAACAAAAAAGTTAGCACTAATTGAACTCAAAATGCAAAAAAAAAAAAAATCAAGAAAGCCAGGAGAGCCAACACCAGCAACCCGCTCCGGTGGGTGGGCATGCAGATGGATTATGGAATTACAAAGAAATTCAACCTCAAGGCTGGGCTCTACTCCGACCTATGACAAGCAAAAGTAAAAGGAAAAACCCGTGGGGGACAGAACTACTGACCAACCAGCCCTGAAAGCTGCTCCAGGTTACAGCCTGTCACCGCAGCGCTCGGTGGCTTTAGGGCTCATTTGCTCCCAGCTGGGACATGGGTGCAGGTGGCTTCCCAGGGGCATCCTTGCAGGAGGGAACTCGGCTATCTCACACCTGGACACCAGGATGTCTCCAAGCACTTTGGCTTTCATAGCCAGGCCAGATCCTTCAGGCACCACCAAACCCCTCTTTTTTACAGGTGTTGGGCCAGGCTCTGACACAGATGCTGCAGCCCAGGGACTGCTTTGGGGCGAGCACGGCCCCTGATGGCCAGACCAGGCACACTGGACTGCAAACTTAAGTGGAAAGGAAACTGAGAAAAAAAAAAAAAAAATTTTACATTTGGCTTTCAGAAGCAGCCTTAAATAAAGTGAGACAGAAGCCAAACAGATGGTCCCGGCTCCTGGGGGGCTGCGGATGAGCAGCACCACCACGGCACACGTTGAGGCATGTGGCCATCTCTGTACCCAGCAGCAGGCAGGCACCAGAAGGCTGCTTGCTGCTCCCACTGTTGCCAGGAGCTCTCTCCAGACTGGTCAGGCTGGAAGCACAGTCCCATACCAACACTACAGCAGGGTCAGTGTGCTCAGCCCCATGTCCAGGCACATCCTGAGTGTGCTCTGCAGCCACCCCTTCAGTGCCTGGTGTGCTGCCCCCAAACACTGCTGCTGTCGGGCCAGAGCCACAAATGTTTTAGATAAAAAAAAAAAGAGTATAAGCTAGAGAATTTCTGGAGGAATAGTCTGGAAATCAGGAAGGCCAAGCTCTCCCTCACGGAGTGAGGCCAGCAGCAGATTTCACCCCGAGCCTTCCCTCCGGCATGCACAGCACAGTGGAAGGTCTCTGGTGTCCAAACTGGAGAAATCTGAAAGCATTCCCGTGAATTACTTGGTGGGGAGGCTGCAAGGGTCAGGCATGGCAAGGATTTCCTCTGGCAGCTGCACAAGAAGCACCACAGGGCACGGCAGCAGAGAGAGAGGTTGGAAGCCTTAACTACACAAACTGCAGCTCCACACCAGAGTGCAAGGAGAAACTTGAAGCCTTTAGAAAACCAAGGTGAGCTACAAGGCAGGAGCATCAGCATTTCCCTTGAAAGCCTCTGTTAGTAACGCTGACACTAGAGAACACCTGCAGCAGGTACAGCACCTGGCGTGGAGCGACACAAAGGACACACTAAAACACGGGCACGTTCCTCGAGGCTGGATTTCTGTGAATGCAGCAGCAAAGCACAACTTGCGTTCGTCACTGTCGCTGGGAACAGCCCTGTCTCACCCACGATGCTGGAACCAAACAGGAGCTCACACTGACTACCCAAAGGGACACAACTCCCCAGCCCATTCCGTACTGCACTGGTCCTACAGCTAAGAGATGAAAAAAATCTGACAGCACACTTCTTAAAAATATTCGGCTGCCAACTCTGACAGATAAGGAAAAGGGTCTTCAAAACTTTCTGTTCTTTTTAGAGAATGCATCACCATGTCTGAGTGCTCAGGTGAGGGAAGATGAGTGTCCCAGCCTGTCTGCAGGAGGGTGTTTCACCATGCCTGGGCCTCAGCTGCCGACTCCTGCTGTTCCAGCGCTCAGCCTGACGCCCACGGTCTGTAAGGATTTCTCCCCGAGCAGAGCAGGCAGCACACAGCGCTCCACGGATCCCGCCGGGAGCCCAGGGCCACGTCCTCAGCCAGCATCGAGCAGCACGGCTCCATAGGAGCTACATCAATTTACATCAGCTGAGGAACCGGCCCGAGGCCCTCCCCACCCTGCCCGGGCAGCGGCGCCCGACGTGGGGCAGCGAAGCGGAGCCAGGGTAAGAGCTGTAAAAGCCCAGCGCCTCTGCAGCACAGCTCGGGCCAGGCTGCAGCTCCCAGGCTGGCACGGCAGACACGAGTGGCTGAGCCACATCCCCGCTGGCACTTGGCTCTCCCGGGGGTGACAGCTGGGTTCATCACCCGTGCTCCTCTGAGGAACACCCCCTTCTCTCTCGGGCACTGAAAGCAGAGTGGAAGTGTCGTTTTTGTGTGTGGGTTAACCGAGAGTTTTCCAGTGAGATCTGCTGCATCCCCGGCTTTCCCAACGGCAGGAACCAACTAAGCACCCTTGGCACAGGTGACTCACAAAGGACTTGCAGGAGCACCCTCTTACTAGGAATGGAAAAAGCCAGTGGAAGGTAAAGGATTACGCTCCTAGGGGGTACGAATATAAAATAGTAAAAAACAGTGCCATGATCTTGACTAAAAGGTAAGGGTTTCTTAGCTTATTATGTCGACTTGATACAACCACAAATGCCATTTAACTGCAATTACGGTACCATAGTAGTTTGTTTTTCTAAAAAAATACAAAACCAAAGCTTCTTGTCTTTAAAGCAAGCTTCCAAGTAATCACTTTTGGCACTAGCATTCCCCATGTAAAAATAACATGGTGGTGGTTTTGGTTTCTAATTTACTTCTACTTACAACTATAACCTTAAGGAATGGGAACTGGAGACTACCAGTGAAAGAAAGGATGGGTAGCAACTCCCTTAATAATTCTGGCTCAAGCAGATAAATCTGAGTCCAGAATATCCCGTAGCTCCAGAAGATGTTGGACAGATCACAAATCAAAACTCCACCACCCAATTGTTCTCCCACACCAGTCAGACTTGAACAGAAAATCTGAAGGTACTCTTCTGGAGAAAAATTAAGATCATGTCCCTGGCCCACCCTTTAGAAAAAAAAAAAAATTTTATTTGATCAGGCTGAGAAAAGGCCTGTTTCCAGTCTGGTAATGGGGAAAAGCAAATACAGACATGCAGCAAGAAAGAAAAAAACAACCTCCCAAAACTTGTAACAGACCCTACAAAGGGTGTGGGTGACATCCGCTTACTTTTTCTTGTCCTTGTCTTTCTTGGTTTGTTGAGAACCTGCCTGCTGAGCCTGTGACTGTAATAGCTGAGCTGCTGCCTTCTTCTTTTGAAAGTTGTTCAGCTCTTCCTCAAGTTCCTTCTTTTTGTCTTCCACTTTTTTCTTCTCTTCTTGGTGAGTCCTCTTTAGATGGTCAAACTTTTCGTGAAGCTGCCGGGACAGAGGCAGTGAGATCTGGCTGTCAAGAGAGGCATTTTCCCTCCCGATTCCCTGGTGATGATGCCCCACCGTGTTCCTGCTGGCACTGAGGCCTCCCTGTCCCCAGCCTGCCTTGGTGAGAAAAGCCCTGCAGCTCACACTCACTGGCATACAGCAGGAATTCCTGTTGCTGTAGGAATCCAACAGGCCTCTGGATGCTCCCACAGCCCCATATTCCATCCCCCAGTGCTCGGTACCTAGGGGACTCTACCAGGCTTGAGCAGACCAAGGGAATGTGGGCACTGGGGGCTGCACTCTTGGCTGCACCTCTGCAGGAGGGCTGAGGAGCAGCTTCCTGCACCCAACAGGGTATTTTCTGCCCCAAGCCCTCACAGAGAGCCTCCTGAGCGAGATATACTCACATCCTTCTCTGCTTCCTTCAACTCTGCTTCCTTCTCCTTCACCCTCATGACAAACATCTGCCTCATCTCGTCCTCCTTCTTCTGCAGCTCGCCCAGGAATTCATTCCTCTTTGCTTCGTAGGTCTCTTGGAGACTGTTAAAAACACACAAAAGCCAGTCAGAGCAGTGTTTCGAGCACAGCCATGAGCTCCCAGCCTTTGGAGAGGTAGCTCTTAGGCTGTCTTGTCACCGAACACGGGACCACACCAGAGGCACCGTCTCCTCTGCCCAAAGACATCCCAGCTTGCTAGGTGGCAGCAGTGGAAGGCAAAAGGAAAGGAAAAGCCGAGCTCCCCGCGCAGGATCCTGTGCATCACTCAGCAGGCAGGGTCCTGCCCTCTGAGAGGAGCAGCCTCCACATGAGCGCTGCCTGCAGCAACCCCCGATGCCCACAGATCCCTCAGAGCCACACCGCCTCCCTTCTCCCTCTGTTTGTCCCGAGTCTCTTGGTTCCAAATGCAAGATCTGTGGAGCAGACCCAGGGTGAAATCTGCCCCCGTGCAGCTCATTGAGCACGACGCTGTCACAGGGCAGAACTCATTTTCACTACTCATTGCTAAGAGATTCAGATCAGGCGCTTGATTTAGATAAAGCCATCCTGGGAGACCTCCCTTTCTCCTTTGGACTTTGTAAACCATCAGCAGCCTTCCTCTTCCAAATAACCCCATTACTGGATTCCTTCATTCACCCTCTACTCCTTGGCACTCCTTTATTTCCCCAGCACTGAGATAGGCAGTGAAGATTTGGGACGCAAAATACGTCGTCCATGTACCTCTGAGATTTTTAGAGCCTCTTAGGAACTCTGGACATCAAATTCCTCTTTTGTTTTATTCCTTAAATGGATTTGGATAGCCCAGCTGTAATGATAGTGTGGGAATGATAACTATTTCCCCCAAGAGGCTTTTCTGAAAACACATTTTTTTAAGTGAAAACCACTGAAGTCACACAGACATGTTGCATCCATGTGCCTAAGGAACACATTAGCCATTGGGCCAGTGGAACATCCTAATTCCAACAAAGTCAAGCTTTTGCTTTTCCTGGCAGTGATGGGGGTTTTGATGGTTTTTTTATTGGTTGGGGGTGTTTTTTTAGGGGATGCAGTATTGAACTGGGGAACACAACTTGTCAGATTATCCCAAGCCTCATATTTAACTCTGCTAATTAACAGGCACTTGGGTTACTTCCTAAAATACTCTCCAGACAGGATGCCCAGAGCTGTTCTGGCACAGCACTGGCCGCCCCAGAGAAATCACACCATTCCACATGACCACACCAGCTTCCTACACATGGAAGCAAAAATACTGATTCTAAAAATGACAGAAATCCTTTTGTGGGAGAGCAGGGCAAGAGCCATCTTTAGATTCTCAGCTAAATGCAGAATCAGACCTCTTACAGCATACAGATTTCAGGGGACTCAGAAACTAAATCTCCCTAAAATTCACTGCTGGATTTAATGCTCTGACTGTGGACACTGAAACTTAAATTCCTAAGCCCTTCTGAAGGATCTGGCAAAGCCTGAGGGCAGGTGAGCTTTTGCTGCTCAGTGAGCACAAACTGAATCTGCAATTAGTGACACGCTGTCCTAGGGAGCAGCAGAGCCTCACGGAGTGAAAAGGAAAGCTCCGCAGGCAACTCATCGAATCCTGGACTGCCAACCACTTCTTCCAAAGCTCAGTTCCAAAAACACGATGCTGGGTGATGGGCAAGCAGGAAAAGCCTGGCAGGAGTGAGAGAAGCAGGGGCTTCCTGTTAAATTGTCCCAGGTTCAAAGCTTAATTCTCTGCTGCAGTGACTCTGACTTCCATAGGAGCCAAGTTCTCAGAGAAACCGGCCTGGCAACTCCCAGGCTGCATGTGAAAAAAAACAATTACAGCCCTAAGGAATAACAGTCCAAACCAACTGGGATCCCTGCAGCTTCTCACAGGCAAAGATGACAAGGGAATTGGCTTTTAAGTACACAAACACATGAACCTAAATTACAAGAGTAACTTGATTTCCCAACACGCCCCCACACACTGAAGGATGCCCTGGCAAATAATATTATTTGGAAAGGGAGTATTTTGAAAAGCTTAACCAGAGTGGCAGAGAATCCACTCAGGCACAGGACAGCAGAAGGGTCTCTGTGCAGAGAGACCCCGTTTCGTGGAGCTGATCCCAGCTGGGACCCTGGTTTTCCCTCCTGCAGCCTGGCCAAGCAAAGTGGGGGTCTCAGACATCACCAGTCCCCTTTTCCCACACCTCACACAAGCCCCTACCCAGCACCAATGTTTTGCTGGGACCTGCTGCCCTGCATATCTCAGCTCCTCCTGAGATATGCCACAGGCTCCCTGCTCCTGGCTGATGGAAGCTGGCTGAAGAGCAGCAGTTCCTGTGGCTCCCGGGGCCAAGATGCAGGGAAAAGCATCCTTTTGATCCCTGAGCTCAGAAAGAACATCCCCCTCGTTTCAGATATACATCAGCCTCAGCCAAACAGCTTGGGATCATAGGTTTTGTTTGTTTATTGGAGGGAAAAGGCGCCCAGAGTGAACTGCCCTGAACTAGCACGTACCAGATGGAGAAATTCTGTACATTTTCATTTCCTTTCTACTTACAGCTTGGTCAAAAGAGGCCTCGTGTACAGGAAGCAATGGAAATTCCTCAGATTCCTCCAAAGGAAGGGCTGAGCCCATCTTAAGCCATTGCTCTCCAGAAAGGAAATTCAATAAAGCTTCACACTTGGGCTTAGTAACAGAACTGGGCTTGACTGATTCCAGCAGAGTTTCTTCTGCAGAAGTGCAGCTGCATCAAGTCAGCAAGTCAGAAATAAGGCCCCAAACCAATGCCAACCCCTGTGTTACAGGGGCAAACCCCCACTGGTGCACTGGAATTCTGACTGCCTTCCCTGAGAGGCAGAGAGGAACACTGGATGCTGTAAGGCAGGGGCTGCAATTACTGGGGAAAAGTTGGGGAGGAATGGGAAACAGGAAATGAAAGGAGAAAACAAACACTCCCTCCCAAATTCCCACACAGCTGCTGTCCCTGGCTAATGGCTTGGGCTTCAGACCAATAAAGCCGTCTGACAGAATGAACTATGTGCTCAGTAACCAGCCAAACCTCAGGCATGAGACTGTGGCACCCTCTTCACAGCTCACCTTGCACCAGGCTGGGAGCAGCTCCAGGAGGGTCTAAACCTCATTTACCCCAGGATGTCCCCAACGCACGGGCCACCTTCCTGTGGCACGGACACGGCTGCGCTTTTCCTGCCCAGAATGGCAGGCAGCCCTGAGCAAGCTGGCTGCAAAGCACAGCAGCAGTGCCTGAGCTGCACATCCCTACCTGAAAGGCTTGCTGTCCGGATCCGTGTCCTTGAACCCCATCTCTTCCAGCTTGCAGCGCCTGTACAGCTCGTAGTGCCGGGTGTGCGTCTGCTCCCTCAAGTCCTCCATGTTCACTCGGATCAGCATCTCCCGCAGCTTCACGAAGTCACAGTGGTTCTCATTTTCAACTGCAAAAACGACAGCATATCCACAGAGAGAGCATTAAACCCAGGAGCTGGGCTCCCCCCCTTGCCCTGGATCTGGGCCTCAGTGTAGCAAACCTCAGAGTTCTTCAAGCACACAAGCACAACTCCAAAATGCCTGGATGAACTGGGTGGAAGACATCCCACACCAGCATGGGCCTGAGTTTCAAGGCCTGCACTGGATTTGCAAGATCTCTCTGCTGCCCATCTGGCACAGGGCTCCCGTCTCCCCATCCATTTTTGCACCAGCAAGGTGATGATCCGTTTGCTCACAGGATTTCACTTCCCACTCAAACCCACTCGAAATCCTAGCACCCACAGGCAAAGTCTAAACTCAATCTCAAACTATCAGGTGCCAGTTTTCTGGGAACAGCGAGAACCCAGCAGGATACAGGCCGAGTCCAAGACCTCCCAAACACATCAACTTCTTTCCTGAGTGTTTTTCCCAGTATCATCCTCTGGTGAATACAGCTGAAGTCCCTGAAGCTGCTTCAGGGTCAGCTTCTCATTACTGAGAAGCCAGAGAATTTTGCAGAATTGTACCACAACTGCTGCCTGCAGCTTCCTGGGCCATTCTCCAGTGGGATACACAACTGAAGCCACAAGGAGACCATCACCATCCCAATCCTGTACTTCCCAGTGCTGGCTGGAAAGCAAGGACCAGCTCTGTATTTCTGGCAGCTTCAGTAAAGCCTGGGCTGCAAACAGTGCCCGAGACAAACTCTGTCCTCCTGCAGGAAGGAGCTTTTGGCTCCATGTGCAGATGTTCACATTCAGAACCAAGCTGTCCTTTCTCAAGCCAGATTTTGGTAAGGGCCATGCAGAGATCAAAGTATCTTGGATCAGAAGGGGACAGGATGAGGAGGCCGTGCCTTCGGGAACATACCCTGCACGACGCCCCAGGGGTACTGCCTGGCTTTGGCCATCTTGTTGCCGATCTTCACTTCTTCGGTGCTGCCAACCACGGCAAAAGGAAGGTGGACCTACAAAAGGAAAGGGACAATGAGGCTGGGGATTTCCTTTGCTGCCTTGCCAGGGATTGTTTCTCAAGAAAAATGTTTACTGGGGCAGCTCTGCTAGATCTAAGTTGTTTAAACGCCTTTGCAATTCGTCTGGTGTTTTAGGAAGTGCAACAGGACAATCTGGATGAGAAACCTGATCAGACTTAAAGCCCAAAATTCTCAAGTCCTAAAAACACAAGATATGTACATGTTTTCCATTTAATTACAAAGCACTACTGTCTTAAGCAAAGAACAAGTCTTAAAATTTGAAACTGAATTTGAACAGCAATAAAAAAGAACCATGAAACAATAAAAAAGAAAATAAAGTACATCCTCTCAAGGAGGACAGGCTCAAAATTCAGGGGGATTTTGCTGCTACAAAAAACTGCTAATGCTTCCTCTTAAACAGGGCAAAGCTGTGAGCAAGGGGAAGAGCGGAGCTGACCCAGCCCTGGGCTGACACGTCTGAGTCACAGAGCGCTGCTCCCTCCAGGTCTCTCCGAGGGTGTGGTGGCGACAATCTGGGATCTACTCCCAGGAGTGTGGCTGCTGCCAGGAGGGAACTGGCCTCAGCTGCCAGCCCAGCCCCATGGAACTCTCCCTGCCTTCACAGCATCCAAAGGGGGTGGCTGCAAGCTCTGGGAGAGGGACCCATGTCAGCCAAACTTGGTCACAGGCTGGGTGGGCAGGGAAGATGTCAGAGCAGGGGAGATGGGATTATCTGACAAAGGTGTTTCCCAGCAGCTGGGCTGCACCTGAAGAGGGCAGAACACTGCACACAGTGCACCCTGGTAGAGCCACATCCCTTCTCTGTGCCAGCTTCTCCCTGCTCAGAACAACATGGACAGGGAAGAGAGGCAACAGGGAGATTTGGAGAGGGTCTAACATTCAGCTGGATGAGGTAATTGCCCATCTAAAAGCCATTGAACGGGAAAACTCACAATAGCCTTCAAGCAGCAAGGAAATAGCTTAATCTGAGTGCACTTGCTTTAGGACTGGCACATCCTCTTGGGGCCAATCAACACCTCACTGCCAGCAACCCTGAGCTCATGTTCTTCCCTTTGCACCCTGACTCAGGCCTGTAACAAACAGCTGCTTCCCTTGGTAACCCCCGCTAAAATGTTCGGTCTAGTCCAGCCCTGAGCAGCCTCAACTCCCACCCTGTTGCTGGAGGCAGGGGAGGAGGTGAAAGCCAGAGCTGCTGATGGCCACAGGCCCTGCAGAGCGCTGGAACATCAGCGCCAGTGCCCCGCTCCCAGCGGAAACCAAAACAAAGGCGGCACTGAATGAATCACCCCCACTAAGCAACAAGTGGTCGCTCGGGACAGGAAAGCCAAACCTCAGCTCTCTGCCCTGACCGCATTGGGGCCCTGCCTCCCATCCTCTTCCTTTCCCGAGACGGGAATACTGCAACAGGGGAAGGATGTGAGAACTGCAACACAGGAGAAGTGTTCTTCACACAATGAAACCTATCAGACAGGTATCTCCAGCCCCCAAAGCCTTCTGGCCAGGCTGATGTCCGTGCTTCAATCGCGGTTTTGAAGCCAAAGTAAGACATGGCACGGCCATCGAGGCCAGGCCCAGGCACAGCAAGGTCACAACCCCCACAGGTAACATACACTCATGGTGGCATTGATCTCGGCCACCGTCTCCTCATCCGTCGGGAACTGGTAGATCTGGACGCCGTTGCTGACCAGCTCGCTCATGATTTTACTCTTGAACTTGTGCAACTCATTCTTTGCAATGGTGTCAGCCTTGGCAATAATGGGGATGATGTTCACCTGCAAGACAGGACAGCACCTCCACGTACAGGACTGCACAGGTTGTGTCACCGGGAGAGGAGAGAGCAGGACATGCAGTGACAGCCCTGGAGTGCCACCAGCCAGCAACCCCAGCAGATGAACTTCCCCGGGGCCGCTGCTGCCAGCAGCACCACCTCAGACAGGATTTCCAGGCAGCAGTGCTGATGGCCTTAGAAAGAAGTCAAGTGCAATTTGGCAACATGCTATTTCCTGTCCTGTCGTACTCCCCTCCTCATCCGAATTGCCTGGATGGGAAATGCTGTCATAGATTATTATGAGCTGCTCCAAAAAACTAAGAAAGGAAATGACCATCTCTGCACATCCCCTGCCACTACAGCTGGCTGGATTACTGCAGGAGCCACGCTCAGGCAGCAGCCTGTCACGGGCCCTGGCTTGGGGAGTGTCACCAGGGACACGGGAGGGGCAGCAGAGCCGCTGTCACCCCACGGGAGGTGGAAGCAGATGGTGCCTACCCAGCCCCGGGACACACAGGACAGGGGCTGGCAGTAACACAGGCACGCTTCCCCCACCTGTGTGCCCTCATGTGCCCTTGGACAACGCTGCACGGCAGGACCACCCCTCCCTGCACAGCTCTGACATGAGAGATGAGTTACTGACTCTCTTCCCGAGACAGGCTGTTGGCAAGGATAAAAAGATCCTGCCTTCTTTCCCTTTCTCCTCCCTCCAGAGGGACAGTCTCTGCTTTTGATCTTGCAGGTTTGCTTCTCCCTGCAACAGCAGACAGAAATTGTACTGAGGATAACAGTAATATCGACCTATATGGAGGGATTTTAACTACAGTACTTGAAAATCCTCTCCTATTACATCACTTAATTCTGTTTGCAGTTATTAAATCCCCCTTGGCCAAAAGATAGAACAGGAATGTCAATTAGCTCACTTGGGATTTATCTCCATAACCTTATTTTCAGTTGAAGAAGGCAAGGAACTTTCTCCATCACCACATAAACCCCAATTGATTGGTCTCCCCAGGAAACAAAGAACCGCTGGCATCACTGATGTCCTGCAGAATCAGGATCCAATGAGCCAAAGGTGCACAGTGGACTGATTTAAACTGCTTAATCATGATGGAAAGGAGCACAGAGAAGGCCCTGCATTTGTACCTCAGTTATTTTTCCTAGAAGAGGTGCAATCTCCTTTGAACCATGGTTTAAACCAAGCCCATGAGGGAACCTGGAAAAGCAGATGCCAAGTAACATATTTATTCAGATTCTCGTTGATGACATGACAGCTAGAACACCACTACATTTGCCGTAGCAGATCAAATCACTGTTTTTTGTCTAGCTGGATGTGCTCAGAGACAGCACACACAGCGCTTCATTTGCTTTTCACTGATTGCAAAGAAGACCTGAACTGTTTTCACTGACTTCAAAGATTAGCTGGGGAGCACAAGGCCAAGTTCCCTACCCGGGGCAGAGCTGGAAAAGAGCAGAAGCCCAAACTCTCAACAACACGTGAAGCAGAATAATGACCCGTTGTGCCCAAGGTACACTTCTCACACTTTGTGTCTGCAATTCCCCACTACTAAACCCAGACATTATTTTCCTCAGCAGATGGCAAGACGATGAAAGCGCTACAGGGCCACGGTGACGCAGGCAGCAAGTACCTTACTGTCGAGCTTCTTCATGGTGACCAAGTCCAGGGACTTGAGGGAGTGTCCGGTGGGAGCAATGAAATACAGGCAGGCGTGGATCCGCGTGTCGTGGTAGTTGAACAGGGATCTCTTGATCTTCAGCTCTTCCTGCAGGTAGGCTTCGAACTGTGCATCGATGTATTCTACTATAGGCTTGTAGCTGGAGGGAGAAGGCACAGAGAAAAGCAGGGAATTGGCTGCTGGGACCACACGGGGCACTGATGGACACTCAGGAAGCATCAAGGGAGCTCTGTATGGTACAGGACAAGTGCTGCTTTTAGGACCCTCCCCACCAACCTCCTTCACAAGGATGCATTTCCACTTGGTGCACAGCCCTTGATTTTAGGTGCATGGAAACCACACGAGACTGCTACCCTGAAAAACTTCAACATGAAGTCATGACCTACCCCCTTTGCTTGTCCAAAATCTCATCATCTTAAAAAAGGGAAGGGAGAGTCATAAGGTAAGAGGGATTTTTGAGAAACTGAAGCCTGTGAGCAAAGCTCAGAAGACAGCTGCACCATCCATGGACTTAGATGGGACCATCTTGTTGGAGAAAAAGCAGCTTATGCAGTGTAACATGGTCTTATTCAAATTAACTGTTTGTGCTTCTGGAAAGAAAACTGTTCCATGTGTTCCCCCTCCACCAAGGCCAGCTTCGTGGATATCACTAGGTGGGTCTGTAAAATGACTGCTGCTCTGGCTTCTTGGCTTATGGAAATTCTGTCTCTGACTATGAGACACTGAAAACCTCAGAGACACATGCAAAGAAAGCAGTAAGGCCTCACAGTGGAAGAAATATGAGAGAAAGCCCCGTAAAAACAGTGGAGCAAAGGAAGCCTCAAACTGGAGGACAGAGCAAATCGCACCCACCACAGGCAGATGTGCCAGGACACAGCAGGAGAACAAAAGCTCTCCCTAAGCCCTGCTGCCCTGGGCCTGCCCTTCTCTCCACAGGGTTAGGCAGCAGCACCACCACTTGTGGGATCGGGAAACACCCCCAGAAGAGCCCACAGAGGGAGGCCCTGGACACCTCAGAGCTCATCAGCACCGGGATTTGTCTCCCTGCAGAGCTCGGTTTACCTGTCATCCTTGTTGATCTGATCCCCAAACCCCACCGTGTCCACAATGGTCAGCTTCAGACGGACGTTGCTCTCCTGGAGCTCGTAACTCCGGGCTTTCAACCTCACGCCGGGCTCGTTGTGCGTGGCAGGCTCGCTCTCGAACTTGGTGTTGAACAGAGTGTCCATCAGCGTTGATTTGCCGATGCCAGTTTCACCTGAGAGGACAGAGGAAGCGTCAGCACGGCGCCACTGCTCTCCCTCACCTCTTTCTCTGGCACCTTCACCAGGTTAAGGAGTTATTCCACTTGGGTAGCAGTGGAATTAGGCTACGTCGCTAAGCAAGATAATCCCTGCGGGAACAGATGTCTTCTGAGACAGTCCCCATCTTTACCAGTGCCCCAGGACTGACCCAGGAACTTTCTTCATGGCAGCAAGTTGTAAATTCTCTTAACTCCGTGTATGATTGCCTGATTTTTGTTTCAGCCTTTTAAAGGCAGCTTTGTTGTCTCAAGATCATCCAAAACCCATAGTGCAACTTAAGACAATAAAAATCTGAGACAGAGAAATATAGACAGAGTTCTTTAAAAAAAAAAAGGTGGCACACTGCTTAAATACCAACTTTTTAAACTATTAGTTTCCCTAATCCCCAGTGCAATTAGTAACACGGATGAAAGCATTAGCCTAAATCCCGTTTTTCAGTCAAAACTGTTTGTTTAGCAATTACACTCTCCAACAGCTACTGCTACCCATGCTGTGAGCAGGGGTGGGATGAGGCAGCTCACATGGAAAGCCAAGTCCTAAACTGATGGAACTGACGGCACAGACAGAAGCTTCATGGCTGAAGCTGTGAATTTTCGGGAGCTCCTGATGTGAACTGCTGCGTTCTATGCCAGATAGGCTCTGCAACATTTCACATCCCAATTACAAATCTCACATTACAACACTGAAGTTAATTGGGTCCTCTCTAGAATCACAGTTTTAAACAATGATATTTTTTTCAAGGGTGAGATTTCTGTTCCTTGGCCAACTGCAGCAGTTTGTGTGAAACTTTAATACGGGCTGAAAATCGGCGTCCGGGCACATTTCACAAGAAAAGAAGAGGTGGATCAAATTGCTAATGGAGACATATTAAGTCACGCTAAGAAAGGCATATTTACTGCAAGAGAGAAAGGCAATTAATTTATGCCATTTTGATCAAAGAGCTGCCTGCTAATCAGGCTGTTCCCTGCTGGATTGAAATGGTTTCACGCTGCTACGAGTCACGTGAGGCTTGGGAGCTCGAGTGTGCAGAAGTGCAACTATTCTCTTATCTCCTTCTTTCACACGCAAAGCTACAGAGAGGAGTCGAGATTTTTGCCAGATTTCTTTTCAGGCAGCTCACAGAAATTCTTAATTTGCTGTAGAAAAACCACAGTCGGAGGGTTGTGGGGTTTTCCCAGCTAATTAATGTAACTAATTAGAAGGGACAATACTCCCCTCTTGGAGGCTTAAATGAACAATGAATGGAAAGATGATGCTTGGAGCCTGCACTGCCAAGCTAAGAGAAAAACCCAGCAGTTTTGTCCATTTACAGAACCAGATTCTGGGTTCACTGACAAGCCAAAGCTGGCTTGGCTCACAGCTCCCTGGGGCTGAGCAATAGATTTCCAACTGCGGAGTATCCACAGAGCACCGAGACAGCAGCTACCTCCCCACAGCCAAGAGGAGATGCTGCCTCCTCATATTTCACCCTCTGAACAATTTGGGAAAAGTAACTGAGGCTATTAAACCAACTTGCAGATTAAGTACAGCAGAGGACAGGTGACAGGCTTTGTTCTCCAGTACATCATGTGGAGACTAAAAATGGCATCGTTTCCAAGTGGAGAAACTAAGAATCTAAGGAGATAGGCAAACCCTGGAAGGGAAGGAATGCAATTTGGTGAGAAACAGCCTCCACACCCAACCCAGAGAAAAGCAGATTTAAGTTCACATCCTTCTCAAAATACATTTAGCTCCCAAGTTCACTGTTTCCTTACGGGCAGCCTTTGGGGGAAGCAGAACCGCTGAATGATCAAAGGGATAGATTTTAACAGCTGTCTCCATGCTTTGACTTGGGAGACAGGGCAGGGAAAGGGGAAAGAGGAACACTAGATTTCAACGTGGAGCAGCTTCCCTCCAGTACAGTCTGCACTGGCTCAGCCCTGCCCTGGGCAGAGGGAGAAGGTGACAATGTGGGGCCGTGTCCCCGAGGCCCCAGCAGGGTGACCTACCCACGCACAGGATGTTGAAGCAGAAGCCTTGAGACGTTGACTTGTTGACCAGCTGGTCCGGGAGGCTGTCGAAGCCCACGTGGCCAGACAGGGACAGGTTCCTGAGGTCATCGTTCTGTAAGACCCAGAAGAGAAGCATTTAGCAGGGTTGCAATATCCCTGTCAGGCAAGAAGCCCCACCAGAACTGTGTTAAGGACACAGGATCTGTGCCTTAGGTTTCCCTCCCACAAGTGCTCTCCTTTTCCTTCTATCCGTCTCTGCCATGGGGCTCAGGAGCTAAAATGCCCCCAACCCCAAGGAGGCAAACACCACCATACTGGTTCTCCATGCCTGTCACAAATAAACCACGATTCTTTACCAATCTGCAACACCCAAATGCTGCTTCTGAGGCCCCAGCATTCCATATCCCTAGGGTTATCATAAGATTATTTGGGCAGACCCTGAAAAATCCAGTGGAACACAATCAGAGCTGTGAGCTGACCAGTTCCTGTTCAGTTGGTGAATCAGCTGAGGCTGCCTCCTTCGTGTCCACTGCACAGCTACACAGCAGAAACCAGCCAGCCTTCCACTCCAGAGCTTCCCCAGCAGCATGGGAAACTGCCCAAACTTCCCAGTGAGGCTGGCTCTCTCAAGAAGTACACTGAGGAGTGACACAGGTTGTGATATGGCTTGCTATTCCTGACAGACACAGGGGAGCAGAGGGCCAAGGTGGTGCTTTCCTTGGCTCAGCTTGCCAAAGGGAAGCAGCAGCTCTCACACCTGCTCTGTCCTACCAGGACTACAAGGGAAATGCCAACATCCTTGCCCTTTTCCTGCAACCCTTCAGCATGGCCACAGCAGGACACAGCTCAGAGAGCAACTGTGCCACTAGAGCCAGCTAAAACTCTTTCCAGCTCCTCCAGGCTTTGACAGGAAGGGAATAAAGCGAGCACGCTGCTCTGCCATGCCTTGCTTTACAAATAACCTCATCTGACACGAGGTGAGGAAGCAGGGCATCGTTCCCAGCGTTTCCTGTGCCGCCTCTGCATGTCCTCAGCAGGAAAAGAAGCCAGGCCAGGCTGCCCGGAGGTGCCAGTCACCCCTCCTGACCCGCTCTCCTCCTTGGCTGCTCGAGCTGACAACATCCAACAGCCCAAAGCCGCTCCGTGGAGGGCAAGGGAGCAGCAGACCTCGCAGAAAGGAGGTTTGAAACAACCCCCAGAAGTTGTTTGTGACGTTCCCACAGCAGCTGCATGACAATCCACAGAGAAGCTCAGAAAAACAAGCCGGCCCAGTTACCTCTTCCTTGGCCACAGTTATGGCAAGGTCCTGAGCACAGCAAAACAAGCAAACAAAACAAGTCCCACTGACTTGGTAGACCCGGAGCAGCTCTGCTGTTAGTTCAGAACACTTTTCTCCTAAAGCTTGTTGTCCTTAATTTTGAAAATACCAACCTTTCTCCAAACCCTTCCCAATGGAGTCACTCCACCAAGGCCACAATAAATTACAGTCATGGGCAGCTTCAACCTGGTTTAAAGATGCTGGAAGCACCAGCTTCTTTCCACAAAATCAGAGGGCTTTGGACCATACATGGACAACTCTTTGGCTATTAAGAATCAAAAGCAGAGGAAGACTTCCAACTCTCTGCACAATTGCTGAGCAGCTCCATTTCCCTCCACAAAACATAAGGGGCCAGCCACCAGCCACCAACTGCAGGGAGAAACGAGTTACATCAGGGCTGAGTGTTGATGAAAATCAACTCAGACCTAAAGAAATACAAAAATTCCCTGAGAAAAGCAACATCTCCAAGTGAAAATGTCTCAGTCTGTGCCAGGAGTCTGGGCAAAGGGCTCCTTTCTGCCATGCTGACACACAGAGCCTGACACCTGTGCTAGACACCTGAGCCATCTCTTAGCATCTAAACCAGGCTTGTCTGTAGGTAAAAATGCTAATTTACCAGTCTGTTCACCTCCATCCCTCTGTCTGCTGGGAGCTACTCACCAGCACCACACCACTGAAGCTTAAGGTGATTAAGAGATGCCAGCTCCTTCACTCAGGCTGGGTAAAGGAAAACTACCCAGAAAGACCACCACCTCACTCACCCACAAAAGGGATTTCCCTGGAAAAGGCCCTGGGATTGATGCATGATCTGAATGGGTTAAATTAAATGTTTGTAACATTACTATTTCTAAAAACACTGCTGGGCTTGGGTTTATGATCAAGTGAAGGGAGCTGGGAGCAGATCCCGGAAAGCACTAAGTGCCCGTGACTCACAGGTTTCACACGAAGTGGTGGGTGTTGAACATCTCCCAGCACAGCACCAGTATCTCTTTCCCTGATATATTTTGGGAAAGCAAGTACTGCCTCATCATCAGTTGCTCAGCAGGAAGAGGAGTTAGACTCATCTCTTGCATCTGTGTCAGTTATTTTTGCTGCAGACCTTCTCTGGTTTATTTCCCTCCCCCTTCCTTCTTTTTTTTTTCCCTTGCAAGTGGCAAACATCAACAGTGGAATAAACAAAAAACATCTCTGTGTTTTGCAATGCCAAGTATTTTTCACAGGCTGTACTGCACAACAGGAGACAAGAGTAGCCTGATATCTGCTCAAAACATCAAAACACTGGTGAAAAGATCTGAGGCCTGAGGCACAGGCAGAGATGAAACACAAACCCAAGAATCCGCCTCCCTCAGCGTTCCCAGGATCCCCAGCGCATCTCCCTGAGTAGAGCAGACACAAAATAGCTGCAGCTCTGCACAAGGCCCACAGATAGACATTTCGGAGGAGGCAGGAGAGACAAAGGAACTTAGATTTCTTCATCTCTCCTCCACACACAAAGCAAGCCAGCTCTGCAGTATGCAGATGCCCTTGGAAAGCTGACACATTTTTGAGGGAGCTGCAGGCTGCTTCTCCCCAGAGCAAAGAGGTGCACACGCCGCATAACCACTCAGCACTGCAGCCAGGCCTGTGCTCTGGCTTTCACCTCTTCAAGGGGATAGCTTCATCCTCAAGGAAAGGAAGCCTCTGCTGGAGAGCAACAAGCCTGATTGCTCAGGGTATCAGCAGCAGAGCAGGCAAGTGATTCACGCTTTCGGTCTGGCAGAACACAAGTGCTGTAACAGGGGGATGCTAAGTCAGATGGCCCTGCCTCTCCAGCTGTGAACTGCCATGTTCACATGGCATGCCAGTTCACATGAACTGCTCCATGAGGAGCTCCTGAGCGCAGTCCGTGGGCTGGGTTTCATCCCAACTGAGTCATCCCACCGAGAACTGCTCTGCCTGAAGAGCAGGCCAAGGCTGACATAGCTCCTGCTCCACCCCGGAGCCCCTGGTGCACCAACAAGGCACGGGAATACTACAGGCGAGGGTTTATTCCTCCTGCCACGTGGCTCCTCTTCCAGAGGAAGCCAGAGGTGCTGCTCAGGTGCTTCAGCCCAAGTGGAAAGGCATTTCATCACCCTGCCTCACTGCCTTTTCCCATCCCTCATTTCCTCTCAGATGAACAGATCTCAGCACAACTCCTCCCTTTGCCCAGCACAGCACCTGACCATCCTGCTGCACTAAAACAATTCCTCAGGAGTCACTCACGGAAACACAGTCCTGGGAGGTGCCCTGGGAACCACAGACAAGGGGCAGTGTCTGAAGCACCGACCTCTTGCAAGCACACTAAAGGAGTAACTGCTTGGCAAGCATCTCTCCTTGCTCCCAGCTTCAGGATCCATGGACAAGATGAGAAGGAGTAAAGCTGCAGCTCCACAGACTCCTGCAGAGATCAGCCAGTCTGCACCAGATGTGCTGCTAGACTTGGGTGTCTGGATGTTCTCACATGCTGGAGAGCTTAAGACATCCCAAAAGCAGTTTGTATTTTTAAACTCTTCCTTAAGGCAGTCACACCTCCTTTACTGAACCCCGCATTACAGGGCGTCGCTTCCCTCCCTCTTCCCATGGCATCCACGAGCAGGAAGTGATTCTGAATGCTTACCCCTACAAAAACTACCGAGTAACATGAACAAATAAGTGCTTGTTTCTTGGGAAAGATGCTGATCACTTCTCTTCGCAGAGAGCCCTGTAAGGCAAGGCATCCCACAGTCCATGTTTGTTAGATCAACAACAATCTTGGAGCTGCTGTTATCACAGCTGCTGGTTTTCACTGCAGCAGGGGAAGGGAAGGGGTAAGTTAAGCAGAGACAAGCCCCCAGAGGCACAGCAACTACTACCTACCATTGCTTTATATAAAGAGATTGATTGTCAGGAACCCACATCCCACCACTCTTCATTTAAAGGGGGTAAAAACACCTTGCAAAACACAAGAACGGGTTTGCAGTCTCAGAACCCTGTCAAGGCCCTTTTAGATCTGTTTAATTTTCACACATAGCTCCTGGTGGCTATGGTTTCACAGGTCAAGCAATGCTCTGGGGGATGCTCTGTGGCAAACAGTGGGTTTGGCTGGACAGGAACCAGTGAAGCTATATGAAACAATTCAGCTGATGAGGCACGTGCAAGGAGAGTCAGCTCATTCCTCCCAAGCCCCAGCGGCCTGGCAGAGCCAGCAGGAATAAAGAGGAGGTTATTCTCCTCACTGGAGTCAGGAACAGTACATCTGTGTGTGGATGGGGAGCTGGAGATAAAGGTGGGTCCCATGTTGCTCCTCCAGAGGCAGCACAAAGCAGAGCTGAGTCCTTAGCCTTCCAGAAGGGTAGTCTGGCAGCTAATGGGAAATAAAGCAAAGTTGCTCCTCTCCTAGGCAGCAAAAAAGGCCCACTCCCAAAAGGCCAAGGAGCGAGTTCCACAAGGATATTTATTGTCCCAGTCTCCAGTCTGCTCTCTTCACTCAGGACTTAACCATGATGGCAGCTATTCCCCAACCCAAGCAAGCTCCTGGCTGAGCCCCTTTTGCTTTAAGGCTGCTGGCAAAACATTCTCCTTGGGCCCCTCCCGGCCCACTGCTGCTGGTGGCTGGGGGTCAGCTTCACACGGCCTCCCAAGAGTTAAAGAAAACAAAAATGAGCCTCAAATTCAAGAGGGGAAAAAGGGCTGGTATGCAAAATATTGAGCTCAACCCCAAATATGAACCAAGTGTTTAGTTATTTGAGGCCCCACAACTTAGAAGGCACCTTTAAGAAATTCTAAAAGCTTTT